AGGATCGAAATTAGTGTTTTGCTTGAATTTACAACCATCCATTTCTTTGCTTTTTTCACTTTGATTACTGTTTCTTAACATTTTTTTTTATATTAATATGGATTTTTGGATTAATTTATATATAGTTTAACTAATTTTATAGGTTTGAAAGTTAACAATTATATAAGTTTTCAATGATGTTGAGGTTTATAAAACTTAAACTTGATAATTTTTAAAAATCAAATTTAAAACCTAACCAATTAAATTAAATTTAAATTAATTATCAATCAATTAGTAATATAAAATAAAATTTAAATAAGAGAAAATAAAAAAAATTACCGCTACAGTAATCCGCTGAGCTTTATATACTTGTAATCGGTGACATGATAAACGGTATTTTCACCCAACTTTTGCAGTTTCTTATAGTTATAATTATAATAAAAAAACCAATCATGCTATTTTGACAATAAACATCAAGTTATATTATGAACTTATGAAAATGAAGAATAGCAGAAGAAATAAAAGAAAGTAATGTTTTACACTAATTGTGTATTTAACGAATAACGATCTACCTCCATTGACAGGAAAAAGGGAAAAAAAAAGAAACTGTTCATCGTACAACGAGAAAAAGTAATGGTAAAAGCTTGTTTTGCGTGTTAAACAAAATAAATTAACAACTAAAAACCTGTAATAAAAACCTAACAAACTGCAGTCCAGTTAAATTTAACCCAAAAAAACCCTCGAAATTTTTCCGAAGACAACGAGAAGACAAAACAACCTAAGCAGCAGATTTGTAAGCGAAGAGATCATCCTCATTCCCTCTCCCCTTGTCTTCTCCAACACTAATTCTCGAAGCCTCACTTTCAATCTCCAAATCCCAACAAGTCTCTCCCTCACCATCAAGTCCACAAACAATCCCACCTTCTCTTTGTCTAAAAGTTTGATTCATATTTTGGGATGCGATGCGTTTCTTTAAGAGGATAGCTGGGTTTCTTGGATTCGCTAAAGATGATGGAGGCTACGATGTGAAAGACCAGCAACATGAAGAAGCAGAAGAGCAAGACGATCATCAACACCCCAACCATGTCCATTTTCGCTCCAATTTCCAAGAAACTGGCCTTCCCCGCAAAGGTTTCGGTGTTCCTGTCCAAGTTGCCGTCGAACGCCCCCAGCTTGGACCCCTAATCGTCCCCTGCATCTCCGGCGACGGCGGCCTTCAGGTCCGTTCTTTCTCTAGACTTCACATCTTTGTTTGTTTTATTTAGTTTTACATTTCAGTGATTGTTTGGAGTTTCGAAATGAAAATTGCTGGGGCTTATTCTGGTATTGTTGAATTGTTTGTGATGTATAATTAGTGGTGTTTATTAATGAATGCTTTGGTATTTATTTGCCGTGTTTCAGTTGGGTTATTGTCAATCCCAATAATTGCCAGTAGGATCTTTGTGTCTTTCCCTGCAAAGAGGGAAACAATGATGAGAATTTGGGGTTTTCTTTTCCTTGTTATGTTTGAGGATATATTAGGTGATTGAAGGTGGAGTTTGTACCTTTTACCTTTGGAATTATGCTGATGTTTTCATAGCGCAGCTCCAATTTGTTTTGTTTGACTATAAAGTCATTAGCATATGATCGCTAATTATAGCTTTCTTCCATGAGGAGTTTTGCATTGTAAATGCTGTTATAAATAAAAGCAATCAGTTCTAGTCTGATTTTCAAGTCAAACAGCCAATCTTGTAGCCTACTAGTTGGTTCACCCTCACCTCCATACCTTAATGAGTTGTGTAGTATCTCATAAAATACCTCCTGCAAACTTTTTTCTTATCTGGTTCAAGTATTGTAGCCTGTTGTTTTCTACTATTTCTCTACCTCCTAATGATTTCTGGTGTCATAACGTGCTGTTATGTTGCCAATGTTTTACCGTGCCTGCTTCACATCGGTGTTGATCTTTGTGAGTGTCTGCAACATATGATGCTATTACAGAGCGTTTTCTGGTGAGATGGTCAGTGGTAGCAGCGTCAAGTCATCAATTTGTATACAGTGATGCTCAACTTTGAACCTTCTGATCAATATCTTGATTGGTCTTCCTTTTGCTTTAGTTTGGTGGTAGTTCCTTTGCTGAAGTTATTAGTTACTAGTTATTTCATGGTGGCTTCTGTAAATTATCCCAAAGAAGATGGATGTCCACTATTTTTGAATGATTTGAATTAAAATGGGCAACATTGGTTCATTGTGCTTTTGCTCCTAGATTGTTATGCCATCAGCTCATTTAAAATAATCTTTAGGCTCAGTGGACACTAAAAAATTCTTTGGTCTCAACTTTCAACTAGCAAATAATGAATTAGGAGTAAGATTTATAGGTTTTAAGGCTGCAATTTTGAATGATAATATATTGTTTTGAACTTTACAATGTGTGATATGCACAAAAAAATATTGATTCACTGTATCCATGCAACTTACGGAGTTGGATTTTGGACAATATGGATAGAAAGTAGGGGAATGCATTTAGAAATTGAAACAGTTGCTTACACTCTTTTCTAAATAAGAATCATCTGTTTGAAGTAAACAGAGAGAGTGTACTGCATTAGCATAGACATCACGATACAATGCTTGAGAACAACAGAATATGCTTTCTGTTTACTTGAATTAATTGACAGTTCTATTACCCTTGGCCATTTTTGCTTATTTACAACGAGGTAGCTGAATTTGAACTGAAATTTGGAAGAATACTTTAGGGGCCTGGTTTGTAATGTAGAAATGTTTTTCCTTGGAGAAGTTTGCTCTGGATTTCCTTCTTAGCTAATCCTTTTCTCATGTAAAGCAGCCAAAAATCATATTCTTTAGGGTGTAAAAATCATATTCTTTTAGCTACATCCAAATCGGCACCAGAGATAATGGAATGTTTGGATGTTTTGATTGCTGCTAGAAGTACCAATGCTTGAGAGAGATTGTAACTACCTTGGAAGCATGTCATAGTTCATTTTGAGGTAACATGCTTGGCAACTTCAATAACCTTTGGCAAGCAGAGGAAGTGCCAACTGGCACATTAGACCAAAGAGGCATTTGGAGACATCTCAAACATTCCATCACCTTGACAGTTGATAAGGGTTATACTCTGCTGGTTTGTTTTAGGTAATTACAGGAGGTAGAGACAATTGCATCTGCAGTAGTAGGTAGGCTGGAGTAGCCCGAACTAGGAGGTCATGTCTGCATGTAGGGAAGAATAGAAAAGGTAAAACTTTCAAAAGTGCTGAGAAACCTAGCTAGTTTAGTTGAGCTTTTCATGTTTGTGACCTCATAAAAATCAACATTTCCTCCTTATGCAACTTTGCTGCTTCTTGAGCACAGTAATTCTTACACCCTGTCTGTCTCTTCATTTTGCATTTCGTCTTGCCAAGGGCTGTTGAATCACCAGATTGCAGAAGTCTTTCTCTGGTAAAATTTTTATTAATGAAAAGCTAAATACACGAAATGCAAACATGGGATGCTTTGCAGATTTGATTTACTGAATCACAGAACTAAATTAGTTATTCGTTGATAGCTTTCCCTTTAATTGAAAGCCTCCTTGAAATATTCAGCAACAATAGTATAACAGACCAAAGCGAGTAAGTCAATTTGTCCTGCATAATTTTATTTGGTGGATTTTGTCTTGTAGCTCCAAGCTCCAAATGTCATGCAGGCATTACACAGTTGATCAGTGTCATTGTTGACATATTTATTGCTCTGATCTCTTAAAGTATGTTGATGGTCCATCTTTTCCGCATTTAGGGTCTGAGATGGTACGCAAAACGCCTCAGGATAGATGAAGATGGCGATGTGGCAGATGAGTTCTTTGACGAGGTTTTACCAAACACATCTTCCAGTGTTCATGAACAGCACAAGCCTTTGCCGAGGTTTGAAGTGAAGCACAGTACTCGGCCAGCTAAAATCAAGAAGCAGATGATGTCCCATGATGGGAAAATTCAACAGTGTGTGGAACATCAAGGTAGATTGCAGTGGGTATAATGGATCTTCACGTCATAGTCCAGGGCTCATGGGTGGCTGGGTGGGTTTCATTTGTCAGATCTATAGGGTAAGTATGTTGCTGGGTCATTCTTTTCTAATAGATTAACGTTTGTTGTCGTGGCCTGAACTGTGAAACCCCTACACCCAATTGTATTAATGTTTATGTTATAAAGCTTTGTCCAATTGGTTTGTGATGAGATTTTGATTTAGACCATCTAATCAGATAAATCTTACAGAATCCTGCAGGATTCGAATTCATGCACCAATTGATCCAAATCTGAATACACATCAAGTTGAATAGACCGAACCAAATTGTTCCATGTGCCATACTCTATACATTTTCTTACTCTTCCCTTCGAGAAGACACTCATATCCGGTCTGCTTGTACACCTGGTTTTAATTGCTCACATTTTCTGACTCCCGGATTTGTTATTTTGCTTATTTGCACCCAAGGTGAAATACAAGAATGATCCAATGATTTGCATGCCGTGAAATTGTTTTCATGTATTTGCCATCAACTATTTACGGAGATCCTTGGTGGAAAATGTTTGGGGTCTGAGTTATGTGGGCAAAACCAAATGAAAAATTTCTTATTAAAATTAGGGCCGGTTTTACCCTCTGAGACATCTGCATATTTATATGTCTGATGATGTCTGTTCTTCCCAAAACAAAAGTTCATACCGCAGCATGGTAAAGAGGGATGCGTGATTTATCAATAATTTTCGGTTCGGAAGAGAGTTTCCAACAGAGAACTGACGAACTCAAGACAGACAAGTCTACACGTACACACACACGCACCGAGTCCTCCCTTCCATCACACAGCATGGCTAATTGTCTAAATATGCCCGTGTCCAGGAGGGTGTCCTCCTAGGGGGTATGCAGGGGCCGTGGTTCCAGGCATGGTACCGCCAGTTCCGTCTGGCTGGTTAGCATGGGTTCAACAACGGGCTACCACAGGCGGTTGGTGGTGGTGGTGCTAGGAACTTAATTTCTCAGCTGCATGCTTGGCTTTGGCCTGATGCAATTCCATCCTTACCTGTGCTTCCTTTACTTTTCTACGCTCCCTGGCCAACTCTTTCTCTTCTGCTGTCCTGGCTGTTGTTAACTCTGCCTGCAAGTTTTCAACAATTTTTTTTTTTCACAAAATTAAGGCACAAGGATGAAACACATGCTTAGGCATATATATACTTTCCTTTTCTCTCTATTTGAGTTGTTCAAGAAATATAACCTGCTCTTCAACCTTGGCTTTGCAGATAGTCAAGCGCTCCTTAGCAACACTAGCCAAATTGCTGATTTTCTCCTTAGCAGCTTGCATCTTTTATATTTTTGCTTCCACAAACTGTTTCTTTATTTATTTATGTTTCGCTGAAGCAGAAACAGCAATTGCTGCGATAATGTTCCGGTCTAGAAATGTAAGGAATTGCTAGGCCAGATGCCCAAAAGATTAGGACGCCACGATAACTGCCACGTGCCACTCATGCAACTGCATGCCTTTGATCAGGTGCCATGTTGCACAGGTGCACGCTCTAGACACACGAGCTTTTCTTGGGGCTTATCGTAACGAGGAATAAGTAAAAAAGGAGCCTAAAAAAGCTGGGAAAAAATGAATCATAAGTTTAGGTCTTGCCCCAGAAGAAAAATGGCAACAATCCTGACATTTTCTTTTTATGGTGTGCATCACTGAATCTGATCAAGCAGTAAACATGAATCGAACAAAACAAGAAAAAATCTAGAGTTGATGAGCGGCAGCTTCACTAGACTCAACATTTTCCTCTACGATTTACTCGAATTTGCTTACAAAGAAGTATTTTCCTCACCTAAGAAGCTTTCCGCTCTTAAAAGTCATAAACAAGCGGAGAAACACAAGTAAAAAATAAATAAAAATGCTAGATACACAAAACAAACACAACAATTGTATGAACTCTCTCCCAACCTTTTATTTACTCAATTAGATATATTACACAAGCTCTCTTCTGTGTGCCATGCACAAAATTACCTTATCCTTTTAGGAATTACATGCTACAGAACTTATTTTCCGGCATATATATAAAGTATATACATTGAAGTTACAAAGAAAACTTCTCCTTCCATTTCTAACAAGTGCTTAGGTAGCTTTACCCCATATTCCTATGAAGTTAGTGGCTTCAAGAGTACTTCCAACGATTCTCCATGCCTTCCAGCGTGCCACCATTATGTAGCTATGTCCTTCCATAACTAGTCATGCTTATAACTGCCATACCAACTCACTACTCGATTATAATCACCACTCACAATATTGCTGTGACTTTTTTGGCCAACTATTAGCCTTATTATTACGTTAGCTATGTTTTTAATTGAATTGGACAATCTATATTCTAAGCCCACATTTATACCAGCATGAACATGTTATTCACATAAATTATTGTGCAACTTGTCTACTGATTCTACCATTATTAATGTAGTTGTCAAACCTAATTAACATTATCTAGGGAACATGTCATCATTATACATCTCGTGCACATAGATTGCATAACAAACCTTCTCCACTGGAAGAGCTCAACGCCTTTTTTGGCTTAGATTTCTAGTGGCCATGTTTTTCAACAGTCACAATCGGTTTGTTTTCTCAACAAAACCTCCTGGTTTATCCTTTATTCATGAAGAATTCAGCCCGTCGATTCTTTGATGAGTAAAAAACAAGTGTCATAACTCTACTCTCCTCTAAAACACTTCTTATTTTCCACAAAATCAACCAAAAACAACATTAAAACTAACCTAAATTGTTTAGACCAATGCTATGATATCCCATAGACAAAGATAAAGTTGTAACACTAGTGTCACTTTTTGTTATGTCTCTAAAAAATTGTATACAAACAATGCTTATTCCCTGACAATCTATAATTACACACAAACAATGCTCATTCCCTTAACAAGTCTATACACTAATTTGTTCATACGTATGTAACTTTCTAAAACTGCATAAACTCCCGTAAAATTTATCAAACTTTTCAAACTTTATATGTGACCTCTAGTATAAAAATGCGACCAATATAGTCTTTGTGATCAACATCCTTCTGTATCAAAGTTCTTTTGGAAAGTGGTAAAGATTTGGGACTAAGGGGTTTGTTTCCTCTGTGGTTTCAGGTTCGAGTCCTTGATTGCTCATATGATGACCACTGGAGGCTTACATGGTCGTTAACTTCAGGGTCCGTGGGATTAGTTGTGGTACGCGCAAGCTGGCCCGGACACCCACGTTAATCTAAAAAAAAAAAAGTTCTTTTGGAAGTTTCGAAGGCCATCAATCCTTAACATGTCCAAACACATAAAAAAATAATAACCTATTATCAATTCTACCTGTTTTGATTCTCTATATGCAACTGTTGTACCTAAGAAACTGTATCACCACCCATATGGTTTTATTGATGCAAAAAACTTGTTGTTCTAACCCTTAATACATGTTTTATCCATTGAAAATCTACAATATAATAACCTTAAAAAAAAAAGCCAACCTGCTCTTTATCATCATGATTTGTTTGTCATTAAGGTGTATAAAATCATAATCATGACTAATTTATCTTAATTTGTTTATTTCTCTAATACGCACAGAACACTTATTTTATTTCCTTCACCCTAATGTTTCTCATCATCATGGTGCACATAACAACCTCAATCTTGCTCATCTAAGACAATCTAACCATTCCATATCTTTAATAGTCAGGTTGACATCTTTATAGCTAAAATCTCAACTTAGTTGTGAAGTACACATATAGAATTTATATATATTGTTTCCTCAGCACCTTTATCTATAAAGATAGTATTAAGTTATCCCAACTTTAAAAAGTTACTCATAAAATGACTCCCATCACAAATATAACAATTAAATTTTTGGTGAACCCTTTTTTTTTCACCTTTAATGAACCATTGTTAACATTGTCCTTGAATTTTGATGAGACTCTAAATGTATCATTGTTGACATTTGGTCTAAAATTTGTTAGTCCATCAGCAAAAACTATGGTAGACCTAAATCCTCATTAGATCTAATCCTTCATCATAACTTTGTGTAACTTCCATAGTAGTTAAGCTACTAATTTTGCAAACTTTCTGAAATGTCACTTACAATATGGTTTGCTATTTTTCCCAGAACATCCCATGCTTTAATACTAATTTTCATATTGAAAAATTTCATGGCCAAATTTCAACCTCTATATAGAGTCTAGTCTCATTAGACTCAGTCTTTTCCTTTATGATTCATTCATGTTTATTTAAAATTAAAAGTTTTCCTTGACTAAAAGGTTTTTTTTACACTCTTATAGGTTATAAATAAGCAAAACCATACAAGAAAAATGAATGAATGTTGCATAAAAAAAATTCAATAATTATAGGGACTCTTTCCTAACCTTTTATTAACTCAACAAAAGAAATTACATGAGTTCTCGTGTATGCTATGCATAAAAATGCCTTATTCCGTCAAACATTTCATGCTATACAACTAATGTTTCTAGTCTATATATAATGTATATACATGGAAATTATAAAAGAAACTTCTCCCCCTATTTCCAATAAGTTCTTAGGTAGTTTTCCCATGTATTCCATGAATTTAATGGCCTTAATACTTAAAACATTAGAGGGAAGTTTGTCCTCATGTTCCATAAACTTACCAACTTCAAAAGCATTTTCATCCATGCTCCATGTCTATCTAGCATGGTCTCAGGATTTGACATGTTCTTTCATAGCTAGTTATGCTTGTAACCGCTATAAAAACTTACTACTCAGTTATAATCGCAACCAACAACATTGATACAACTTTTTTGGCCAACTATCAACCTTATTACTATCAAATTAGCTATGTTTTTTCTAGGCTTGGATAGTTCGTCATCGAAGCCTACATTATGCCAACATGAACTCACTGCCCACACAAATTTTCATGCAATCTTCCTATTAATTTTGCCACTATCACGCGATTATTAACCCTTATTAACACCATCTAGAGAACTTGCCATCTTTATACTTCTCATGCATGTAAACATCCATAACACCTTTTCTCTTAGAATAGGACCTTAAATACTCAAGAAAAGTTTTAAATGTCTGTACCTAACTCTTTTTAAACGCAAGTAGATTTAGATGGTGCCATCTCACAATAAAATAATGACAAACTTTCTAAGATTTGTTCTCGATTGCACTTCTATTTTTCTATTTAAAAAATTATATTTTTCATATTACAATTAATATAGTTGATAACATTTTATATAAAAGTCAGGAACACGATCAATAAGCATGGTAAAAAAAGTTGAAAATATTATAGATTTTGATTTAATTTACAAAATGTTCTTATGAAAAAACAATTAGTGCATGTGATGCAACCATATTATTTGATAGTTTCACCCATATTTAACTAGTATTTAGCCTATGTTATATATATAAAATACCTTGATATTATTTTTTTATATATATATTTTTTGAAGGCATTTTTGGATGAAAGATGCAAAAAGGAGTAAATTGGAGGTAATTGACAGATTTGACGTTTAGTCGATATGTTGTGCAGAGCGTGAATTCTAGAGATCGAAATGAAGTGATTCTAGTGGCACTAAAAAGCTAATATCCATACCTTTCTGGAAATCTAAGTCAAGAAAAATAAAAGGACAAAGAGCATGGAAATCACATCCTTCAAAGTCAAATTTCGCATTCTACCACTGTTGACCTTTGGTCATTCAAAATTCAATATCTAGAGCTTCAGAAGTTCAATTGATGCAAACTCAATTGTTTTGGATTCCTGACTTAAAGGCCTAGAAACACTCCAACTTTCAGCTAAAAACGATGTCATATGAGGGAGATATGATTTTTCAAAGATGAAAACTGAATTTTTCCAGCAAACAGATTTCGTGAAGAAATGAGTCCAAATTATGTTCCAAAGCTTCTAAACTATCATCCAAGTTGTAATTTCAGCAATTTAGCCCCTCTAGTAAATCAATCTAGAAAGTCAAGGAAAGTAGCCACCAACCTCAAACCACCAACCATAAACCAGCTCCAAGTGCTGGAATACTTCCATTGTCAAAGAAGATGGCTTCCATTGTCAAAGAAAATAGGCCAACTTGTGAGAGTTAAAGAGGGCTACTGGTGCAGCATTTACAGCCTCTTGACATTGTCAAAGAAGGAGGCTACAATGATGGGTTGTTGGTGGTAACTACTAATATCAAAGTTTGGCAAGTTTAATAGCCACCATTGTTGATAAAGGAGCAAGAGGAGCTGTCATTGAAGCATATAAATAGACACTAAGAGAGCCAAGAAAAGAAAAGAGAGTGTAATAGAATCAAAGTAAGGAGGTAGTAGCTAGAAGTAAAGAAACACAAACTCTCCTTTCTACATACTAGAAATAATGCTTTCTTTTATCTTTAGGAGTAGTTGTTCAATAGATATGCAAGGCTAAGCTCTTTTCTTGGTTGCAAGGACGCAAAAACCTTCAGTTTCAAGAACTATGAGATTTATTCTTCAATTTATTTTCAGTTTGTATTATGAATGAGTATGATTGTTTTCCTATGCATATTTTCTATGATTGTTGTTGATAGTTGCTAGAGCGGACTCTAAGTTATTATTGTGAACAATCTATTATTAAGTTTGGTATCAAAACCAGAGTTATAGTATATAAACTTGTGAAGCAACTAAACTTGATAATTATGGCGGAACTACGTTATTAAACTTAGGGAAAAAATTTGATCAAAGCAACACAAACAGACAACTTGGTTGT